TCATTAAATGCACTTTAGCAGATTTGCAGTTTATAAAAAACTGGAATTATAATACACATTTCCACTTTATATTATATGAAGTAGATACAGTCAAAAGACAAGAATCTAATCATTAGAAAGGCACAAAAACTGACTTTGAACAGTAATTCTTAAAGTTCTTAGAAATTCATATGCTAAAACATAAAAATGTAAGATGGATCGTAAGCCTAAAAAAACTTTTTAAATGGTTTTGGGGCTGGGATGTAGTTCAGTGGTGGAACGTCTGCTTAGCATGTGTGAGATCCTAGGTTTGATCCACAGAATCCAACAAATGACCACAAAAAAGTGTTTTCATCAGAGGACAATCAACAGCAAGGACAGAGTTCCTTTCTGCAGAGTTCCTTGCAGTTAATACAAGCTTAATAGTGAATATCCAAATTGTAAAATGCCTGAGAAACACACTTGCAAAGGCAGAAAAGTGATGTTCCTTTCACTGTAACTCCATCTTCAAAGAGGTAGTGTTATTCAAAAATATTCCACTCAAATCTAAACTGACAGAACAATTTAAAACAGGGCCAGGGATACCAGGGATCAAACTCAGGTCCTTGTGCTTGCCAGGCAGGCACAGTGCCACTGAGCTAAATCCCTGGATCTACTTTTTTCACTCTTTGAAACAGGATTCTGCTTTGTAGTCCAGGCTGTCTCTGAACTCATTGTGCAGCCCAGGCTGGGCTCGCACTCACAATCCTCCTGCCTCAGTCTCCCAAATACTGGGATTGTAGGTTTCACTACCATGTCTGACCTACTAAATTCTTTAAATTCAATCACAGTTTATGTTGTACCTTGAATAAATTTAAACCTTCAATTTAGTCATAGAAATACAAGCTAGCCATGGTATGCACACCTATAATCCCACCACTCAGGAGGCTGAAGCAAGAGGATGGCCACAATTTCTAGGCCAACCTGGGCTAAATAGTGAATTCACAGCCAGCCTGAACTATGTAGCAAGATCCTGTCTGAAAAGAACAAAGAAAGAAAGAAATACCATAGAGAATTAATCAGTATCTATCCTTTGGCATGAACATACAGTTTATGCTGGTTTTTCCTAAGCCAATAGTCAAACCAAAACAAAGGCCTAGAAAATAAACTTCTCTTATATTCTCTTTCTATTTTACAAATTACTTCCAAGGGGTAATGATGTAGCTAAGTGGCAGAAAGCTTGGCTAGTTATATAATGCCCTGGGTTCAATGTCCAGAACTTCCAACAAATAAATTAATAATTTTCTTCCAAAAAGTTGGTGAGAATGCAACACACACATAAGCCAACCCACTGTAAGGAAATAAGTCAATCCACTATAAGGCAAGTAAATGTCTTCATTTCAAACACTCTTTACATGCATTGTGAAAATCGAGCAAATACACATTTCTAAGGTCTGTATCTGACCACCGGTCTTTATGTCATTCTGTAGATAGACATGGAAATCTAATTTACAGAATGCTTTCTAGAAACTTGCCCAGAAAGTGCTAACTATGCAAGAGTTACTGTGTCAGTCCAGAATTAAGCTTGTATGTGTGCATAGTCCTGTTGCTTTCTAATTCTCCCATGCTGGAAAGTGTGCAAATTCACAAAAATCATATTCATGGAAAGCAGAGTTCTTTTAGTAGTACATGGCTTCCCTTTAAAAATGAGAAAAAGTGATTTGGGCATGGTGGCGCATGCCTGTAATCCCAGCACTTGGGAGGCTGAGGCAGGAGGATCGCTTTGAGTTCGAGACCAGCCTGGGCTACATAGTGAGTTCCAGGTCACTCTCCACTACATAGTGAGAGCCTGTCTCAAAAAAAAAACCAAAAAATAAATTTTTTAAAAAATGAGAAAGAGGGCTGGAGATTTAGCTCAGTGGTACTGCCACCTGCCTCACAAGCGCAAGGTCCTGAGTTCAGTCCCAGTACCAAAAAAAAAAAGCAGGGAGTGGGAGATAGAGGGACAGGGACAGGGACAGGGAGAGGGAGAGATGCACATGGCCAGCATGCACACAAATACCTCACTCAGCATCATTAATTATTGGGCAAATGTAAAGCAAAAATGCAGTAAAATACCACTTCATACCCATCATCATGGTTCTTGTAAATAAGTAAAATTAACAAGTGTTCATGAGGATATGAAAAACTTAGAACCCTATGGAAAAGTGTGGCTATTCCTCAAAAAATTAAACATACAATCCAGCTATTCAATTTCTAGGCACACACCTAAACGAAATGAAAGCAGAGACCAGAATGATATTTTTACACCCATGTTCACAGCAGCATTACTTATGACAGGCAAAAGGCAGAAGCAAGCCAATGTCCACTGATAAATACACAGGCTGTGGTGCGTGCACATAAATTCAGCCTTAGAAAAGAAAACAATTCTGACACATACTACAACATGAACGAACTTAGGACAGGATGCTGAGTGAAACCAGCCACTCACCAAGGACCAATATCGCATGAATCCACTGCTAGGCAGTAGCCACAGTGAAATTCATGGAGACAAAAGGGAGAATGGCAGTGGCCAGGGGACGGGGACAGGAGAAAAACAGTGTTTGATGGGCAGAGTCTCAAGTGGAGAAGACAAAAAGATTTTGGAGATGGTAGTGGTGATGGCTGCAAAGCAATGTGAATGTACTTAAAGATGCTGAAATGCAAACTAAAAAATGGTGCACTGTGTGTGTGTCTATTCTGCAAAGTAAAAGAGAAATAGGACAACAAAATGGGACAGCGGTATCCAAATTCTCGAGCACACCTTTCACTACCCACATCACCAATAGCTTGGCCGTAAGTAGTCAGTTAGGTTCTAATTTCACTGCTTGCCATGGGCCTGTAAGTTCATAGTTAAGTTTTAAAATTTCTTCTGATCCTATGAAAAGTTTAATATAAGCTTCCTAGTTATATCCTTCATCAGATATGATACTAATAACTATTTACTTCAGACTAAATAAGTTGCAAAAAAATCTGCTCTCCCAACTTTGTAATTCGGGAATGCTTTGTTTATTGTGTTTGTTTGTTTGTTTGGGTACTGGGGATCAAACTCAGGACCTTGAACTTGAGAGGCAGGCGCAGTCGCACTGAGCTAAGTCCCTGGCCCCAGCACACTTATTTTTATCCCTAGAATTTCTCCATTTTCTTCCAAAGCCAAATACAAGCATTTTTTGGGGGGGCGGGGGGTAATGGGCATCGAACTCAGGCCTTTGCACTTGGTAAGGCAGGCAGGTGGCAGAACCACTGAGCTAAATCGCCAGCCCAAGCTATTTTTATTTTTACTAGCAAAATCTTTATTTATAATCTCCTCCCCCAAAGCCAAGAGTTCATCTTTACTAACTGCTAAACATATCACCCTCACAGTAATCACTATTTGCCACTGATATCAAGTATAAACACTGGAATCTGATTTATGAATCTCCTTCCCTTTAAAAACAGTTCACATAAGAAAAAGAAACCTAGGGCCGGGGATTTACCTCAGTGGTTCTGCCGCCCGCCTCGAAAGCCCAAGATCCCAAGTTCAATTCCCAGTACCACAAAAAAAAAAAAAGTGAAACCTGATATATCCTTCGCTAGATTTCAAGGATGCTGTCTAGTCACATTCCAGTTTTTCTTATAATACCTTCTGATTCCACAAACTGTTGCAGAACTCAATGTGCTTTAATGAACTGGTCAGCCAGGTTGTCTGGTTTCCTCTGACCAAATGAAGTCTGTTGTGTTGTTCAACAGTTTACACACTGTAACAGGTACTGATACAATTCAAATAATGCCTACTCATGAACATAAAGTAGATGAAAATTACAAAGGACAAAAAGAGGGGCCGGGGATTTGGCTCAGTGGTTCTGCCACCTGCCTCACAAGGGCCTGAGTTGGATCCCTGGTACCAAAAAAGAAAAAAAAAAAAAAGGACAAAAATAATCCACATGTTCAAACAGACTGAAAGGTATAGCTTAGGAAAATAAGAGTTCTCACATGAAAAACCTATACTTAATGCACTCTGAAGAAAAAAAATGTATTAAGTATGATCATCATATACTTTGTACTATCTGAGAACAAGAATGCATGTAATCAATTTATAAACTACGTGTTTTCTTGATTTTTTGTTTGTTTGTTTGTTTCTTTGAGACAGGGTCTCACTATGTAGTTGAGACTGACCTGGAACTCACTATGTAGCCCAGGTTTCGAACTCACAGCGATCCTCCTGCCTCAGCTTCCCAAGTACTGGGATTACAGGCATGCACCACCAAGCCCAGCTGTTTTCTTCATTTTTAAAAATGCTCTTTTTTTTTTTTTTTTTTTGGTACCGGGGATTGAACTTGGGTCCTTGCGCTTGCAAGAAAGCAGGCAACAGAACCACTGAGCTAAATCCCTGGTCCCTAAAAATGCATTTTTTTACAAGCCAGGGATTTACCTGAGTCACATAACACCTGCTTTGCAAGCATAAGGTCCTGAGTTTGATCTCTGGTACAAAAAAAAGGCAATAAAAGTGCACTTTTTCAAATACCATTTTATTTATGTAAGTCATCAGTACCGTTTCCTTTACTAGGTTCTACTTCCTAAGAGTATAATTTGTAGTTGTCATTGCAAACAGTCCATCCACCTAAAATTAAAAGAAAAAAATGAGAAACACAGACCCAGACATCTCTGCCCTTTAGTTTTTGCACTTATCAGGAGAGATTCTGTAGCTTCTTTTTGCTTGTCCTCAGCCCTTTAGAGTAAATAAAACCCCATCCCATCCTTATTTTTCCAGCACCAGGGGTTGAACCCAGGACCTCATGCATACTACACAAGTGCTCTCCTACTGAGCTAAATCCCCAGTCCCAATTGAGACCTTTCAGAAGGAGAGGGGTACACTTGGTCACACACTAGGAACTCTAATAAAGCTTCCCATCCCTTCAATTTGCAACACAGAACTTGAACGGATAGGAAGTTTTACAAAAAGAAATTACATGGAGCTCTTGAAAGATCCATTGAAAAAGAATGGAGTTGGTCATGAGCCTTACCTTTCAGCAGTGGCAGAGGTGTTAACTCAATAGGCTTGCCTTGAGACCTAAACTGTGAGGAACTTTGTGACCTCTTCTGTCTGGCTTTTCTGACGGACTTCCGAGAAAATCCGTCTACTTTATCCACTGATGGAGGAGTAGTTGGTGCTGAGGACATATCCCTACTGAAGAGAAATAGGTGTCAGAAACACGTTCCTGAGGTGCAAGCACGTATGTCAAGTTCTACAAATACTCAACCTCTCATACGTAGTATTAATGAACATGGAAATATATGTCGAAGAAAGTAAATAAAGGGGCCGGGGATTTAGCTCTGTGGTGCCGCTGCCTGCCTTGCAATTGCAAGCACAAGGTCGCGAACAATCCACGTACCAAAAGAAAAAACAGTAAATAAAATCTATTAAAGAAAGTCTTATGTCAATGGTAAAACAGGAAAATGTGATGAGAAAAATATGACCATCATGTAAGCAGCACTGCATCTCTCTTTTTTTTTTTTTTTTTTTTTTTTTTTTTTTTTTTTTTTTTTTTCTTGGCTTTTTTTTTTTTTTTTTTTTTTTTTTTTTTTTTTTGCTACTGGGGATCGAACTTGGGTCCTTGCACTTTCGAGGCATGAGGCAGAACCACTGAGCTAAATTCTTGGCCCCAGTATTGCATCTCTAATGAATTATACTATTCCAAGGTCCAGGATTTAGCTCAGTGGCACCACGCCTGACTCGCAAGCACAAGGTCCTGAGTTCAAGCCCCGATACTTGGGGAAAAAAATGAATTATACTATTCCATTTTTAGAAGCAGTAAAAAGATGTTCATCTAAAAAGTAAAAGATGTTCATCTAGACTTAACTTTCTGTGCTATCTACCCATTTTAACTGTAAAACTCTTTCATCCTGGGCCGGGGATTTGGCTCAATGTTGCTGCTGCCTCCCTCACAAGCGACAAGACCAAGTTCGATCCCCTGTACCAAAAACAAAACGAAAATTCTTTTCATCTTGATTCTAAAAGTAATTCTGGAGCTATTCTGCACAGCTAGAAAACTTCCATGGAGACACTTTTCCCAAAATATTTAATATTATGAATGGATTCTAGAGTTGAAACCTTTACTGTAGTTGTAAGAATCCACCCCAATATATCACAGCAAGTGATAAATTTACAATTATTGAAACTATTTGATCAGAACTCTTAGTGAAATGTGCTGCATTTGCCACAATAAACCACCACACGGCCAGTGAAGACAGGCTAGGTTACTTCAAACAGAAGACACAAAAGGCATCATTAAAATCATTTCAAAGAAGTTTTCTTTTTGAATGAAGCCATCTTAAGTTATTATAGCTTAATAAATAAAACTATGATGAAATCAAGCAACAAGATGAACTGAAATATAACTTCACAGCCTTAGGCAACTAAGTGGAGTTTCCTTGAGGGTTAGATCTCAATTACTAATTCTCATTTCATGAAACTGATAGAACTTCTTAACAGTTTGGGGTTTTTTTGCAATTTTTAAACCTTTTAAATTATTAAAATGAAAGCTATTTCCCCAAAGTAACAAGCAGTAAACTCAGTTCCATTCACCAAGTTAAATGGAATCCGTCATTCCCGTGGCTCTGAGACTACATTAAGATTAACGGCAGACTCAGATGGCGAACAGGGAAAATGCCTGAAACGCAATTACTCACCTGTCATTCCAATACATAAGACAAGTTTTTTAACTCCTGTATGAAAGAGTAAGGGAGCTTCTTCCCGAACGTGTAAGACTAATAAGTTCCCTTAGTAAAAACACTCTGGTGGAGGTGGGCAAACACTACGTTAAAGTTCAGAATTTTTAAGTTTTCAGTTCTCTTTCATGAAAAAGTTTAACTTAGCCTTTAAAATGTAACGGAGCCCAGTGTGGTGGCGCACACCTGTAATCCCAGCACTCGGGAGGCGAAGGCAGGGAGATTGCTGAGTTCGAGACCAGCCTGGGCTGCAGAGTAAGTTCAAGGCCAGCCTGAACTACCTAGAAAGCAAGACCGTGTCATCATAATAATATAATAATAATGAGGAGGAGGAGGATGTGACAAATTCAAACTGGACTTGCAAACTATGAATACTACGGAAAATGGAAAATCATTTTAAAATATGATGACTGCATCAGCGAGAAACTCCACATCACATTTGTACGCTGTAAATTTAAGGGTGGATTTTACAATCTCGTATGTGAATTATTTAGACCTCATTCTAACCCTAACAACAGAAGATTTCAATAAATCCTCTTCCTCCATCACTCTTTTTGTCTCTTTTTTATCCCTCATCAGCCATCTCCAACGACGATCTATAAGTACCTTTCTATTTTAATTAATTGCCCTTTATGCCTACAGCCCAGAATAAACGTCAAGAATCTCAACCCTAAAACATCGCAGAACTGAACGTAAGGCAGCAGCCGGTCCAAGCGAAGCCCAAGGAAACAGGTTTCACCTGGGCCAGGGCGCCGGAAGCCTTGCCATCCTCTAGGCAGCGGGCACTCGGCATTTCTAAGGCTCCGGATAATCCGGAGGTGGGGGCAGGGAAGCGGTTTGTGTGCACGGACACTAACACACACCCCAAGCCCAGAAGAAGAGAGCCACCCCACATCCCCTGCTTCCGCCGCCCCCGCCAGCGGGCAAAGGGGGACAAGAAACCCCCTCAGATCCCAGAAGGTGGAAAAACGAGAGGAAGACCGAGCGAAGGAGAAGACTCCTCAGTGGCATGTGCAGGTGGATCAGACAAGTGGGACG